TTCGTTCAGTCTCTTGGGTGAACGGTATTTTCAATATTTCCATGCCGCAAAGGGCATTTACGAATACCTTTGTCTACTACCAGGGACACAAATCATGTCACAAATTAAGTGATTAAATAAACCAAGTAATGATTGAAAATGTTATTTTTGATATGAATAGCTATTTTTGTTATCATTTTGAAATTCCAGGCATGCCTTTTTGGGATTTAAATTCCTAATTCTATCATATAAACTTTGTAATTTTTTTCTTTTCTGTTGTCTTTGCTGCCTTGGCGTATACTGATAAATAACCAAGTCAGGTATATTAACAGTTGGAATACCAGTTGACTTCAGTACGCTTTTTGTCGGTAATCCTAGCAACCTATTTTTCGTATCATCCTCATAATCAGATTCATTGAAGTGATTGCTGCATATTCGAGCATTCTTTGTGTTGACAGTATCTGCTCTTCGACACCTATGCAGCCATTCTTTTATTAATTGAACGTTTCTGTACGGAAATCGATGAATTATCACGTTCTTTTCTTTCGTTATACGTATTAATGCAGGTACCAACGGCATACGATACCATTTTTTCAATCGTTTCTCATTACGAGCACTTTCTAAGTACAAAATCCATTTAAAAGTATCCTCAATTAGAATTTTCAATTAAAAAAAAAATCGGATGTGTACACCACATGACTTCCTTGTACAAAATATTAAATTATACGCATTTTTTCTTGCATTTCATTTAAACTTATTGCATTGAATTAAATCTACTTCGTCGATAGCACATAAACCACAATAGAATAAATGCACTCTTTAAAATTCACTATATTTGTTTACCATAGCGACACTTTGGCGCTAGGTTCACTTAACAGCATTATATTTCGCTCATATTATAATTCAGAATGCACAAAATTTATATCATTTGAAGTGACGAGGAGAATCGTTGCCACATGTTCTATTCAAATACTGTAATAAATTTAGAACGATGTATAAAAGAAATTAAGCAAACAAAACAAAAAAGAAACAGTTTTTCACAGACGATTGAGTATTTCTCATCCAATTAATTCAGGTCTCACTTCCCGACAAGGCAAAAATACATAAAAACTCAAAATATCTATATTAAAAAATTACAAAGTAAATCTTAAACACTTATTTCCTCGAAAAAATTCCAGAAAGGATTAAGCATGATTTAATTCGCAATAATAAATGAAGGCGTTAGCTTTGTTGTTGAGAAGCTTACTCTCTCTAAATTGGCTATCTTTGTTGTTGCGAAGCTTACTATCTCTGAGATTGGCTACAAATCTACTATTCTGCTGTTTCAGATGTAAACAAAAATGTCCGCCATGTTATTTAAAAAATAGGCTTAGCCGCGCTTGAACAGCTTTTAAATTGTTGATAATTCTACAAATATTGCTTGCAGATTTCTTAAAGGCATAAAAACCTTAACCGGAAGATAAGAACAATATAATTCAATCATTTTTAAAGCAAAAAAATGCACCGGCCGATTGCAACCAAAATACGAGATGCACATCTACATGTTATAGCAGTCCTATATACAAAATTTCAACGTTCTGATGCTACTCGTTTTTGAGTTATGCGAGATACATACACACGTACGTACAGACACCACGAAAAATTCTCATCAGAATTCATTTTAAAACAGTTTTATAATTTTTTTGGAAGAAAAAGAGTCTTTTATTCTGTCCTTACGTACAGATGTCACGCAAAAGCATCGTTAAATTGCATTCGATAGCTGTCAAAATGGATATTTTCGTTGAAATATGCTGCCTGAAGGTTTTCGCGATTACAATATTCCCTTTTGACTTCGTACAAGGTAGTAAAAAGTTAACGTTTGTTTAAAAGATAAGTTTAAATTGTAATTCAAATACAGCCCATTTTTTATAAGACGTTGCGAAGGAGAACTTAACATGTTTAATGGGACATGCAAGTGCATTTTTAACTTCTGTGAATATACATACATGTAGATTATCTTCCAAATAAGGATACTTATTTGTCTCTTTTTTAAACCGATTCTTTGAATAGGGGTTATAAAGAAAGATATATTCGAAACGGAAACTGCTTTACGAGTGGCTTGCCTGTTTTCTGCCAAATTTGACGCTATCAGTGCCGAGAGCTTGATAAAGTCTGGCTTTTAATCCCTCTCTGCGTAAACTATAGATAAAGTAAGGTTCAAAGTCCCAAGTGTACAATTTACTGTATCGTTGTCATTATTATTACGTATCTTGAGGAAATGAGTAACATTTTTCAAACGATATTCATTCTGGCTCAAGTTTCTGGTGATTTAAGACAGACGAGACTTATTTACTGAAAAAATATTTAATTCAACAGTAATTATATAAAACGACATCAATTAGAAATTTCCGTATGGTATCGCCGTGCTTCTAGACTGGTAGAAAGAGGAGAATTTTGTTCAAAACCAGAAAGCAATTCCTAACAAAATGGTGAAAAAACAGAAAATATGGTACCATTTTTTTGTAATTTCAACCTTAACTATAACTTCGCCTTTTCGGATATAAAGCTTTTGACCAGCAGTGCCTGCATTTTTATTTTCTGCCGTCGAATCTGCCAGTTAATATACTAGCATTAGCAATTTGCTAGCCGAGGTCAAATCGCGCCATCAAAGTTTCGAGCCAATTTAATTAGGCCAAATTTATGTAGTCTCTGGCAGCGACACTCTTAATTGTAAACTCGAATTTATGTTATTTTTAAATACTCTTAAGTCGCGGCCTTGGAGCATACGCACAAATTGTGCTTTCTGTTGAGTTCACGCCTAAATAAAAAGGTTACTTTATAGTCTGTTGTACTATTTCGTATGGAGCGATAATTCGCTTGTGAGTCTAAGGTCAATATCTAAGGACAAAGTTGGTGTCAGTCTAAGTTACTATTACAAAAACAGAATCCTTTAAATGCAGAGTTTGTGTGTATAGTTTTTTTCTTCTGTATACCGTTAACAATTTTGTTTTAAAAAGCTATCTTTATCACCTTAAGTCACCTTAAATAAGTCACCTTTTAGTTTAAATAAGTCACCTTTTTAAGGATATCTTTACTAAGTATACTAGTATATCTTTACTAGGTAAGGATGTAAAACTCTACTAGTATATCTCTTACTCTTTACTAGTATATCTTTACTAGGTAAGGATGTAAATGATATAAAGTAATTGTGGCGAATTTGGTTTTTCTTTTTGTAATGGTCCCCCCCCCCCCCACCCCCCCCCCCCCCCCCCCCCCCCCCCCCCCCCCCCCCCCCACCCCCCCCCACCCCCCCCCCACCCCCCCCCCCACCCCCCCCCCCCCCACCCCAAACCCCCCCCCCCCCCCCCCCCCCCCCCCCCCCCCCCGCCCCCCCCCCCCCCCCCCCCCCCCCCCCCCCCCCCCCCCCCCCCCCCTGAAAAAAAAAAAAAAAAATACCTGAAAGATAATTTCTAATTTAGTAAATTTTAATTATTTTATTCCTTATATTCATTTTATAAGAATGTTTTCCTTATTTATTATACGATACAGCTGTGTATCAATAAACAGTTAATTATTAGTTTTGTTAGTAAATTTTCTTTCTTGTAATGAATAAAGTCTTAATTATGCTGGTATATGTTCGGCTATCGACCCCTTTCAAATTACATCGACCCCCTGTGTGTTTGTATAAGCCGCGTTTGGAATCCCTGCTCTGAAAGTAACATTTTACATTCAATACCTATTAAAATATTTGTGTGAAAAAATATCTTCGTCTTTAATACCCGGATATCCTAAAATAAAATATTGGATACTCTTCTTGCCAGGATCTAAGCCCATGCATTTGTAAATAAGAATAATATATATTATATATATATATATATATAATATATCAAGCAAAGTCGTAATTATAATTTTTAAAAAACCAATTTTGGTCTAGAAAACATTTTGCGCAAATATGCTGCAAAATAAGTAAAATATAAAAATTGTAGTAAGCTCGCCTAAAAGTTACCAAGAGCTGCTGCTTCAAAAGGTTCAACACGTTTTTAAAAAAATTAATACATATGAAAATCAAACCATTAGACATGTAAAACATTAAAAAAAACAGAAACAGATAAAAAGTAAGCGGAAAATGGTAAATTAGCCCAATTCGACTTCCAAACTGGCTTTTCAAGGGAAATTTCATTTATTTGAACGTATGAAGCAAAGAGTATGAGAGTTCATAGATGTATCAATAAAAATGTTAATGTCGAAAAATAATTGTGGTTTTCCCTTATGTATAACACTGAATACGAGCAAGATTTCTTTAGAAAGTCCTCCTCGAAGACATCCTTCCTTTCAGTCTCTCGCTCTTTGTCAGAATTGATTAATCAAACAGTTCTTTTGAAAGTTATTTCATTACAAAAAGTGCATTGAATATTTCGTAGATTAACGTTTAGTGAATAAACCATTTCGCGACTTGTATGAAACAATCCTTACAATTTTCAGTTTATGTAAAATCACTGAGAGACGTATTTCGTGAAGAGTCGCGCTGACTGTTGTTATTGACAGTCAACAGTAACGACTGCTGTTTAATTTAGAGTTATTATAACTGTATTATTAAGACAGACTAACTAGATCGTAAAACAAAACGTATTATGTACTGCGGCAGTTAGTGTTTTTATAACTCAATTGGTGCAGTTAATCAATCTCCTTCCCTACATCCTTCCCCCCAAAAAATAATATGCCAACGGTCGATTTAAAATTTCCAAGAATGAATTAAGAACCTTACCATGTTTTTTTGCCCAAGTTACCGATCTTGATGGCAAATTTACTGTGGTGGTTTTTACCCAAGTTCATATATTTTTACATTAATAGTGTACATTATGAACGTTTAAATATAAATATGTTGCCTTTGTATTATGAATTTGAAACCACGGTAGAAAGTAGGCATTGATTTTGTGAATCAACTTTATTATTTAATCATTTTTATTTGATGATCGCATCTTCTTTAAAATTTTTGTTTAGTTAATGATATGCTAATGATATTCTTTTAATATGTGTTCTAGGACTGCTATCATGTTCGCAGAATCCTTGCAAAAATGGTGCCTCATGTGTATCCAATCCGAGAGGCGAGTCCTATTGCAAGTAAGTACCTCGAAATTTCCATTTTTATAATTATTCCTCGTATACTGCCTGAACGCACATTATCCAGTCAGAAGAAATTTCATGGAAGGAAAATTTATATTGTAAGCTGTAACTTTTACTCACCTGCTGGTATTGTGCTTCACGTGTAGTTAAATTTACAAAGAACAGAGACAGCTTACAGAGAACTCGGTATCAAATGAATAAGCGCTTTTGATAGTGAATATTTGATGTCCTTTTCTCACAAAAATACTTCCCCTATGAGTGGCGCCTCTGGGCATATGCAGATAATGAGTGAAGGACTGCATGCTAATTGGTTACTTATCATTAGCATACAAAGCTCTCACTATTCGGTCTTTAATGCTGGGAAAACTATTTCTTAGTCGAATTTAATCACTGGGTCTACAGCAAACCTTTTAACCTTTTCTCACGCTAATGACAAAAAAATAACCTTTGTCACGTTTAATCAAAGAGTACGTCTTCTGGCTTATTCTACTTATATGTAATAGATATCATGACTATACTAAATTTAATGAACAAATTCTGAGCGGTGCAATTTTGAACATAGCATTTTTTTTTTTAAAGAGTCTTTATCGAGACATTTCAGCTTATTTGAGTAGCTAGTTCACTTCTATAAGGTTCCTGCGTTGGCATATAGTGTTCTAGCGTTAAATGACATGAATATCAGGATCGTTTCGTAGATTTTCGGTGGTGCCGAGCTTAAATTCAGATTCATGCTTAATTGTCTCTGCTGTAGCAGTCACTTTCTCCTTCTAGATCTAGACAGTCTAATCAATTCATGTTAGGTGCATCTTATTGGCCAAATGAGTTTTATTTGTATCGCATGAGTGAATTTAATTGCTTGTTGTGATTTAATTTCTATACATGATAATATAATTTAATTGAAGTCAATTGTTTCCACTTATTGAAGTTGCTTAACTTAAATTATGTAAAAATATAATAGATTGCTCTCTCACGTTTATCCTAACAATTTGCACCTGAGTGTGAAAATTGTCAACGGAAATCGGGTAGTTCCGACCTCGAATGTTGGTGAACATGCTGGCTTCGTGTTCATTTTAGTGGTGTTCTTCGCGTGTAACATGAGTACAAGTCAGTTTTCCTTGCTAAATTCTTCACGAATACACCCCTTCCTTAACTCATGGCCTTCACAGGTTTTGCTTTATTTAGAATCAGCTAGTCAGTTTTTGTGTGCACAGATTTATTTTTCTTGCCTTCTGCATATATTTCCTTTTAAATATTCACAATTTTTTCTTTCTTTCTTTCTTTTTTGAAATTTTTCGTGCATTTTATTCTTTTTGCAAGAAATGATAGGAATGTGAATAAACTATAGATGTGGTAACAGTACATCGACAACAGTTAATCTCGATGCGAATACGGAAAATATTTTTATCTATTCCGTTAGAAATACGTACATTTCAGGTATTTCTCAGTTGATTGAATCGAAGCAAAATCACTGATGCAAATCAGCAAAGTTAAAAAAAAAACAATACATATTTGTTAGTTTTTCTTTGCCTTCTGTGGGATGCAGCCATCCAAAGCTGTTAGAATATTTTTCATACCTTTTTAAAAACACATCTTAGAGTTCATTCACTTTAAAATATGAACATGAAAAAACTGATGCAATCTTAAATCGTTTTTCAGAAAATTTATCCAGTAAGCTCATTTTTTCCCTTTAAAAAAAAAAAAAAAAAAAAAAAAATGAAAGCAATAAGTAAAGTTATGTAACTCTTAAAAACACATTTTTAGTTTTTGGTTTTATTATAAAACTTAAATTTTCTTTTACTGAAATTTATGTGTTTTAACCAAGGAACAAAAAATTTTTAAACCATAGGCACTCCGTGATTTGAAATCATTGGCATTGGCAGGAATAAAAATGACCAGCCGTTCTGCTTAATCCTTCAGCTTCAAAAACACGTAAAACTTTTGTTTTATGCAATATTAACTTTATTGAAATTGAGCAGGTGTTTGAACTAATGTTCCATTACTAGTAGAAAACTAGGCCATTTTCCCTTTGCGTAACGGAAAATGTCAGGAATTTAGATTAAACGAATAAAATCCTCTCTTAGAAGAAACAGAATAATGTTTTAATGCGCGTTCTTTTAAAGCATTATATAATCCCACTTTTGCAGATTGAAATACAGTTCCAAAGTAAATAGCACACAAACAAATACTGCAAAGTAAAATTGAGTCTTCATTTGGTTTAATTCAGTTAGCGGAACATCTTTTGATGCAACATTTTCACTCCCTCTTATTTCAACACCAACAGCTGTTGATGTGCGAAATTCAGTAAATCTTCGCCTTGACAGCTGTTGTCAAGAAGTGAAAACATTATATTCACAGACCATGAATAAATGCATTTAGTTATTCACATAATTGCATCCACAAGAATGTGAATGTTTTTATATTTTCCCAAAGGCATAGTACCGGGTCAGGGTGCAAGGTTTTTAAAATGCGTAAAAAAATGTTCGTGGAAATACATTTTTTCTTTTCATTTGGCAGAAGTTAAATCTGTTTATCTCTTCTTGAGAGGCATAATCTGGGAAGTCAGAGGAAAATGTGTTTTAGATGAAATGAATGGCCTTCTTAAAACTGTCGCGGTTAATTTATTTCCATATTTATCAATATTGCACCTTTTATGGCACAGATTTTTGCTGATTATTTTGAAAATTTGGAATTTCATCAACATGCATACAGGGCTGGTTTTTTTTTTTTTTTTTTTTTTTTTTTTTTTTTTTGTAAACCAACATTGCATATAAAGAAGACGTACACGTGTGACAAATGTTTTTAAAAGAAAGCATAGCAGCTAATGTTCATCTTTATTGTTCGTTTTGATTTCCACAAAAATATGGTGCATTAGCTAACTATTACATTTTATGTAATTATACAGCAAACAGTATGCCTTGCCGAACGCGGAGGTTATATCTATTAACACATTGGGCATACGGCAAAATTATGTATAATTTAAGCAAACCTGTAGTGTGTTTTAATTAAAAGGGGTAAAAAAAAATCAAATATTAATTGAAAAGAGTTTTTATTACTGTTTAAAAGTAAATGATGCAGTCATTTTAAAAAAGAGCTGGGGATTTTTGCTTGAAACAACTATAGAGACATTAGGTTTTTTTCGAAGGAGAGATGAAAAATGAGCATTGCCTTCCCCGGGACTCGAACCACGGACCTCTCGAATACGCGCCGAGCGTGCTGACCACTACATAACGAAGGCATGCTAAGAAGGCGGAAGACGTACCTTATATACTCCCCTTCTAAAGGGCGACTAGGGATTAGGGGACCCAATTTTCAAATCCTGGTGGTGGAGAATCTTCATCCACCATCTTTTTTAGTTCGGCCGCTACTGTTGAGACATTAAGTTATTTCGGAAGCAGAAGAGATGAAACATGAGCAATGTCCTCGCCGGGACTCGAACCACGGACTTTTCGAAAACGCGCCGAGCGTGCTGACCACTACACCACGAAAGCATGCTAAGAAGGCGGGGGGGGGGATACTTTATATAACGACTGATGCAACTTTTTGAAAGCTTCGCAGTAAGGTATGTACAGTTTTTCAATGTTTCTCATGAGGTGTCCTTTACTTTCTTCATGGGGGTTAATATCCATTGCAAATTGAGACAGTTCTTATGCCTTTTTGACCAATTCGCTTATACATTAAAGGTGCTGTATCTTCTTCATTACTGCTATTTCCACTGTCGGCTGGTGTCATGAAGTAATCCAGTTCTTTCATTTCTCAATTATTATTTTATTTTTTTCATTTATGAAAATTCTTCTCCGCCAGTTGTTTTTGCAGTTGGCACAATTTCTTTGGCTTCATTATCAATCAATGGAAATCCTTTAAAAGTGTTGATGGCTTATGGCCAGAGCTGATGGCAGCAAGTATTTATTCAGTATTGATGAATAAACACTGGACCGCGTATGAATGAAATTCTAGCACTGAAGAAATTAAATGACAAAAAAAAAAAAAAAAAGAGAGAGAGATAACGCGCATATGCAAAGTGCATTTCGCAAATCCGGTTTTGCTGTAAACCAGAGTTTCTTAAACTGTGGGTCGCGACCCCCATGGGAGTCGCGAGACCTGCAGCAGGGGGTCGCTAAAATTTTAGCGGTTTTGATATTTCTTTAACTTATAATAAATGTTAAAATTACCAAATATTCACAGTGTATCTGAAAATAGATAAAGATCAACACAGACAAAGGAAAAAACGAAAACTCCTATTATAATACGATAAGTAAATATAATTATATTTATAAACGACGCACTCTTTTTATAATATAGACGTTCACTTTACTTGCTTTTGCACGTGACGCTGTCATTTCGTCTGATACTTATTTAAAATTTTCACATTTTTCTGTGTCTTGAAATTAGAAATTAAAGTTAATGACCTAAAACTGCAATAGTATATTACATTAACAGGTGGAAAAATTGACAGTTTCACTTACGCGTGTGTTGGATTTGCCCAATGCTTCTAGAAGGGGGGTCCCACAAAATTTTCTTTCTTAAATATTCTGGGGTTCTGGGGTCGCGAAATAAACTCAGTGGTAAAAAGGGGACGCGACTTTAAGAAGCCCTGCTGTAAGCTATGAAGCTTTTAATGATTTTACAGTATATAGAAAGAAAGCATAGAAACTCTTACTAAAATACTTATGTTAGTTAATTAATGTTAATGTCATTTTCTGTAATTAATTTCATAGAGTCAAAGAACGCAAGAAAAAGTTTTCGTAAGTTAATGGTCGAGTTGATAGCAGAAGTTAAGTACTTTCCGAGACGCCGAGACTGTATATTTTCGTGAACTTCTTTCTTTAGTAATCTGCGTGTATTATATAATAAAGACGGCTATGAAAAAGCTTTGATAACTGAGCCAAGGAAAACACATAATGTTTAAAAGAAAACTTAAAAAATGAAAAGATTGGAATGTTTTCCCGTGACAGCTAAACGACATTACAGCGTGGTTGATAATGAACAGCTCTTAATTT